GAAGAAGAAAAATGAAAAACCGCGCTTTTCGGCTGTAAGGCTGCCTAAAAATTGTTTTTTGGGAAAGAAAAAAATTGCGAAAAACTTGGAATTTCATTATCCTTAGATTCCAGTTTGAAAAAATACACACGTATGTAAAATTTTGCGCTAGTTAGAACAAACCTTTGACAAGCAACCATCCATGCGAATTCGCTGCTTAAAAATTTGTCCTTCGCAGTGTGCGGTGGGTCTCGAATCGTCTAACCTGCCGAGATTGACCTCCCGATTCACCTGATGCAGTGCTTCCTTAGGCGAGGAAACGATTTTCTTGCCTGAAAAAGAATGCTCACACGTAACTAAATTGCTCCTATTTCCTGAAAGACCTCAAAGCCTCAAAGATCTGAAACATCAGTTTAGGGAATTTTTCACCTTTTTTTTCAAACTTTATTTGCTTCCGCATATACCGCTGCAGCCATTTCAGGCGTTTTTGGTCAAGTGTTAACAGCGGTGGTTCGATATATGGCTCGGAGTGCAACGAGATGAATGCTTTTTTGGCAATCTCATCAAACGATGATGCGTTATTGTCCACTTTGTATTGAACATATCTGCAAATTACCACTAATGACGGGGATTAACTCAAAGTTGCAGGGGATTAATTCAAAAGTTGAAGAGTTAATTGCAAATTTCGGAAATTTTTGGACTCTAATAAGCTCGTTAACTGTTGTTATTTCTACATTATTTCCATTCACAAAGAGCCGTTCTTATCCATGCTAGTTGGACTGTAATTGATTTGTACAAAAATGCACTATGGATGAATCAAGACTTCTCGAACGAAGGTTTCTTCTTGTATAATTCAATTTAAGAGTCGCGAAAACCGAGAAACTAAAACTTCTGACAAATAATATTCGAAAGTGTTATACTTTATCTGTCTTTTGGGTTGTTCTATTTTCTGAATTATAACTTTATGTCAAATTCGGGCATAAAGAAAAATTTTGTGAATCAGAAAAGAGAAATACGTATTCGAGATTTCAAGAGTTTACTTTGACGCGTAGCTCAAGTTATACCACCTAAAACCAGTTCCCAGATTTCGCTTCTCCAGTTATGTTTTTCAGAATCCTGTGGTCAAGACATGTTGACTGCATTATAGGCAACCGGTGGACGATGTGCATTAATGAGTTGAATCCTTGACAAATTAAAACACTAATCGGACGAGTTCCGAAGAGGTGGAGCACATACACAGAACAAACGATGGGCACTGACTGGAGGTGTGCAGCCCGAAGTTTTGGCATAGCCTACGCTCGGCATTTAGAAGCATCCTAGTAATTACACTAAGGGAATTCTACACTAGTAGTCCGAGTACTCTTGGTATTGCTGGTAAGATGAAATGAATTGGAAATTTAAAATTTTGATATTCTGTGAGAGGTGATAGTGACTTGAGATCAGCTCTTTAACCGCACTCTTCCTGGGATTATTCGAGAACGCATCAAGCCATGAATCTGAAATTTTTGTGCTTTCTAAGGACAGATTAGGTTCACAGGAAATGATGAACTTATACACGCGCTGGCTCCTATATCCATACTCTGCTCGCTTGCAACAGTTCTTTGCAAAAATTCGAACGTATGCTATTTACCAGCCACTTGTTTTTTAAAAAAATAAAAGACGTGAAAGCCAAGTGAAAATCAAGAAACTGACACGGTCCTGGAAACAAGGGCTGAGGTGTTTGTGTCTATGTGTGTGTGCTTGCTTTGTGATCCCTCTAACGCATTCACGCAATCTCCCATTTCTGGAAGAGAAAAACAATTGGATTTTACTTTTCTGACCAAAGATGGTTTGGTCTCCTGCAACTTTCGGTTGGTGTTTGGCAGCTAGGTGATATTAACAGTTCACATAGATGAAGAAGCAAAAGAAAGTTCAACAGAGTAAAGAACAAATGAAAACGTATTGCGTATGCATTTGTGGTCACGATAAGAAGACAAGCACGTGCCGTGGTTATTCCATCTTTTACCTTTGCTTATCATTCACCAATCATTTCATCATTTTTTGCACTTGTAAAAATAAACGGAGAGCGACGCAGTTACGCGTTTTTACAACAGTTTGTTTCGGTACAGTGAGTGAAAAGCGTGCAGAAGATTGTTGCACGTCGTGCTGGATGACCTTTAAACTCATTCGGCCAATG